TGTGTGTGTGTGTGTGTGTGTGTGTGTGTGTGAGAGTGTGCGTGTTACCTGTTCAGGATGACCCGTGCGGCGGGCAGCAGGTGTGTGTAGCGCTGCTGTGTGTGTGTGTGTGCGAGTGTGTGTGCAGCCGTGTGCAGCAGCGTCTGAGGAGAGTTGCAGCTGTTCTCGCTCCACAGTAACACGTGTGTGTAATTCCCAGACATCCTGAGCTCCGACACGGACACACGGAGCAGACCGGCGGGAAGAGCCACTAACTGATTCCCTTCAACGTTCAGAGACCTCAGAGACCTGAAGGAACACGCACACAAACACACACCACACAGAATATACCATTGGAATATACCAATATCATTGGAATCACTTTCAGAGTAATTTTTCCAGCTGATAAACTATAAAAACTTCGATAGCCAATCAGAATCCACCCTGCTTTAAAGAGCTCAAGCATTCAATGTGGCAGATGACAAAACTTGCATTAATAACAGATTGTTATCTGTATAGTTATTATGTTTATCATTATAGTTACTTGGAGTTATCATTATAGTTAATGCTATAGTTGATGTTAAATTTATCATTATAGATATCGGTAGATATCATTACAGTTATCGCTATAGTTATTGTTTTCTTTATCATTATAGTTATCGGTAGATATCGTTAGAGTTATTGCTATAGTTTTCGTTTTATTTATCATTATAGTTATCGGTAGATTATTGCTATAGTTATTGTTTTATTTATCATTATAATTATCGGTAGATATCGTTAGAGTTTTCGCTATAGTTATTGTTTTATTTATCATTATAGTTATTAGTAGATATCGTTAGAGTTATTGCTATGGTTTTCGTTTTATTTATCATTATAGTTATCGGTTGATTATTGCTATAGTTATTGTTTTATTTATCATTATAGTTATTAGTAGATATCGTTAGAGTTATTGCTATGGTTTTCGTTTTATTTATCATTATAGTTATCGGTTGATTATTGCTATAGTTATTGTTTTATTTATCATTATAGTTATTAGTAGATATCGTTAGAGTTATTGCTATAGTTTTCGTTTTATTTATCATTATAGTTATCGGTAGTTATTTTTATATTTATCACTATTGTTATCAGTAGATATCATTATAGTTATTGCTATAGTTATCATTATATTAAGCATTGTAGTCATTGGTTTAGGTGTGAACAGGCCTTTAGTCTGAGTGAATGATGTGCTATCACATTATTGTTAGTTAAAACTGAATGAACTCCAGAGCTTGACCTGAGGTGTCTGATGTCACTGCTGAGGGATCTGAGGAGATTATAGGACACGTCCAGATGCTGCAGACACGGAAGAGAGTACAGCCTACACACACACACACAAATAAATAAATCACTGTATTAAAGTTTTTTACAGTAATGATTACAGTAACAAGCACATAATTAGAATCTTCTTTGAAAATAATTTTTTAAAATCTGGATGTGTTACAGTAATGAGGATTTTGGAGGAAAACGTGTGTGTATGTGTGTGTGTGTGTGTGTGTGTGTGTTTCTCTCACTGCTCGGGCAGCTGTGTGATCTTGCAGAAGGAGACGACCAGCGTCTGGAGCTTGTGGAGTTTGCTGATTTGAGCAGGAAGCTCCTCGATGGGGTTATTCCTCATCTTCAACACCCGCAGCTGATGAAGATCACACACCTGAGAGAGGAAGACGAAGGACCACGTCAAACAACATCACATGAAGTGCATCATGACAGAAATCACAACGACTGTAAGGAACCTCCTGAGGAACGTGTGTGAGGTGATTGAAGGACACGTTCAGATACTGGAGACGTTCAGACAGTGACGACACGTCAGGAAGATCACAGATGAAATGAGCCTGTGGGGGAAACACACTACATTAATAACATTTCATAAAGTTATTACTATTAATAGTTTGAAAATACGTATTCAAATTAGGGCTGTCAATTTAATGCGTGATGGAGTCTATTAGAATGCAGTTAAATGAGACTAAAATTCATGATACGAGGGCAAAAATAAATCACCCTCTAATATTTATATCATATGATATAGTTTAGTGATATCACACCAGCAAGAGTGCTGCTTTCCCCCAATATCTGCACGACTGCAAATGAGATTCATTTATACAACAGTTCAATAAACAAGTTCATATCGTGTTACATTTTGGACACAATATTGTCTTTTTTGATCAATTTAACAAATGAAAATAGTTCAATCAAAGCCACAGCAGAACTGTTGAGCATCTCTGATCAACACACAGCGGTGATTCATTACTGAATGAATCCATGATTTTGAATGAATCGAGTGAGTCATTGATTCAGTGACTCATTCATTAAAGTCACTTGCTTTGTTTCAGAATGAATCAGCTGTTTGAATGAATCAGTTGAATGAATGATACAATGACTCACTCATTAAAACAGGGACTTGCCGCAATATTTCAATATTCATTTAAAAATGAACATTAATATCCAGTTTATTATCATTATTTATGCAAAGTTGAATCAAAACATTTCTTTCTACAGTTACTTTTTCAAAGCACTAAATGATCTTTTGGAGGGTGATTTCTCAGCCGAAATTGATGTGAGATTAATTTGCGATTAATTGGCACATCGTGTAATTAATTCGATTAAAAATGTTAATTGCTTGACCACCCTAATTAAAATTATTTATAAAAGTAGTAAGCCACTGGAACAAGCAACTCTGCTTCACACTGTGTCTGAGAACAGCCGTATACCGCGGTGAAATTATGGTAACAAACATCCACAAGTGGCTTAATGCTTTTACTGACAAAAAAGAGTTAGATTTATCAGTATTAATGACTAGAGTAATCAAAGATAATGTTTTTGATCTAAAGTCAGTAGCTTTATGTGTGCACATACTGAGACTCATTTCTCCTGATGAACCTGAACACCAGACTGAAGTCAATAATGACCCAAGACCTCGTTATATCGAACAAAACACAACTAGAGACGTGCCCGCAAACAGTTCCTTAAACTGTGAATAAAAATAAATAAGGCAAAAGAGAAGTGCACATCCTCTTCTTCCTCTTTTAATCAGAACGTTTCATTTCCTAAGGATATAAAGCTCTTTGTGTGGATGCAGAAGATCTGAAGACATGAGAACACGGGCTTCATTCAGCGGCACAGAGGAACTCGAGTCTGATTATTAAAATCAAAAGTTGCATCTGTTAATATTATTTAATATATCTAACATTAACTAACAATGAAAGACTTCCACTTCTAAAGCATTCATTAATGTTAGTTAATTTCAACATTTAATAATAGATTATTAAAATTAAAAGTTGCATCTGTCAATGTTATTTTTCTTCAAATCTTCCCACATAGTGAGGTAGATATGTGGGGGCGTGTTAGAACGAGCCGTTTTAGGTAGGTGTGGCTAACTCTTAACTTTTATAAAGAATATCTCTTTGGATTTGAGACTTTAGTCTTTGCAACTTTACAGATCTTCTTTATGCACCAAGAGCTTGTAACACTCCAAAGAGAAAGGAAAACTTGAAATCTCATCATATGACCCCTTTAACGATGTTTAGATATTTGTACTGGAAGAACATCATGACTGCAATGTTTAGTTTCCAGTACAGAATCTCATTTACTTTCAGTAGGTTTAGGGTCTGATGGACTCACACACACACACACACACACACACACACACAC